TCCTTTAACTTTTTTATGTATTTTTTAGTCCATTTTTCATTTTTTTTAGTCTTTCTATCAATTATTCTGTTAAATTTATCTAAATATACACATTTTTAGTTTCTTAATTTAAAGTGGATGGATAAAAAATATGCATATATTAGAAGTTGAGAGATTAAAAATAATCATTTTAAACTTGTTTTCAATATATAAGAATATAATGGTTTTAAATATTAGTATCTCTTATCTTATTTTAAAATTTGATATTTAATTTATAAAAATATATATTTATAGCGATAAATCCGAAATGGTACGTAAAAAATTCTGGTATTCGATATGTACCGTTCCAGTAACAAAATCGATACGTATGCCGGTACAGTATTGACTTCCTTGGTTTCAAGGAGTTAATAGATGCGTGAGAGAAAAACATTTGATTCATAAAAAGGGAAATGAAGATGTGGCTCACAACAAGGGGAAATGAAAATATGATTGAAGAAATGCTTCGAAAGTCCAATATTTTTCAAACATAAAAAAGGTCCTATAATGTGAAGAGTGTGCTCAATTTAGTCTTTTTTATTTCAATTATTTGATTTATATAAATAATATGTTTAAACATTTTTTTATTAAAAATTTATTTAAACATTGTAATTTTGTGAAATTGAACCAAAAACTAAATGTAAAGCATGTAAAAAATAAACATTTAAATACAAACTTATTATAAAATAAGAGGAAAAATAGCAAGATGACAAACAAAATAAAAAGTTTCTTATTTCACCATGTACTCCTCCACGTACTCCTCCACGTACAAGTCATACAAACTTGTAGGCCTGTATATAAGCTAAGGGATATGCGGGGGTTACATTAGTCATTGAATAGGACTAAATGTGAGAATGAATGACACTTTAATGGACTCTTGAATGACACCTTAATGACCCTTTGAATGGCCTTTAATAAGATCATGAATGACCCCTTAATGGTGAGGAATGCCCCCTTAATTATGAGGAGTTACAACATGGAAGAAGATGACTGTGAAGGTGAAGCATCCACCAATAGGAAAAATTCACAATAGTCCCCCTTGGATGCTCACCTTTTTGTGTTATACACTTTTAATCTACCTTATTAAAATCCTTGCTAGGAAAACCCAATGGGATAAAAACCATAGCAAGGGAAAAATAGTGCAGTACATATAATACTTCCCCTCACTTCAATAAAGCTCTTTAAGATGTCAAATGCCTATCTTGTATAGAAGTTGTTCAAAAACTTTGGTAAACAGTGACTTTGTAAAAAGATCTGCAAGATTCTTGTTTGAACTGATTTACTGAACATCTATTTTACTAGCATTTTCAAGTTTATGTGTAAAAAAAAATTTGGAGAAATATGCTTGGTTTTATCTCCTTTGACAAATCCTTCCTTTATTTGTGTAATGCATGCAGTATTGTCCTTGTGTAATAAGGTTGGATTTCCCATAATTGTTTTAAGACCACATGTTTCTTGGACATTTTAGATCAAAGATCTTAACCATACACATTGCCGACTTGCCTCGTATAAGGCAACCAATTTTGAGTGGTTTAAGGATGTGGCAACAACAATCTGTTTGGTTGAATGCCTAGAAATTGCAGTACCACCATATGTGAACAAATATCCAGTTTTTGATCTCTTTTTATGTGGATCAGACAAATATCTAGCGTTCGCATATCCAATTAACTCTGATTTTGAGTATTTTGAGTAAAATAATCCCATGTCTTTTGTTCCTTGAAGATAACGAAATAAATGTTTAATGTCATTCCAATGTCTTCGTGTTGGTGTTGAACTATATCTTGTTAACAAATTCACAAAAAACACAATATCAAGTAGCGTATTGTTAGCTAAATACATTAATGCACCTATGGCACTTTAATATGGTACTTCAGGACCAATGATTTCTTCGTTATTTTCACAATGTTGAAAAGGATCTTTCTTTACATCAATGGATCGAATAACCATTAGAGAGCTTAAAAGATGAGATTTGTCTATATTAAATTTCTTCAATATCTTTTCAACATAATTTAGTTGATCGACAAAAATTCCATTTGATAAGTGTTCAATTTGTAGACTGAGACCGAATTTTGTTACTTTGAGATCTTTCATATCGAATTCTTTCTTTAAACATTCAACTGCCTTTTCAAGCTTTCCAGGTGTTCCAATGATATTTATATCAACATATACAATAATAATAGCAAAACTAGATTTTGACCTCTTGATAAAGACACATGAGCTAATAGGATATATCCTTCTTTTAGGAGATATTCACTTAGACGATTATACCACATTCACCTCGATTGTTTTAACCCATACAAAGACTATTTTAATTTTATTAAAAATATCTCTTTTAGCATTAAGTTGTATGTTTCAAGCATTTTAAATCCAATAAGGACTTTCATATAAATGTCACTGTCAAGTGATCCATATAAGTAAGTAGTTACAACATTTATGAGGTGCATTTAAAGGCTTTCAGGAATTGCTAAACTTATTAAAAACCTGAATGTAATTGCATCCATCGTAGGAGAATATGTTTCTTCATAATCAATACCAGGTATTTATGTAAAGTCTTGAGCTACAAGTCTAGCTTTGTATCTCACAACCTCATTTTTCTCATTTTGTTCTCACAAACACCTATTTATAACTTATAGGCTTTACATTATTGGGTGTTTGGATAATTGGCTCAAAAACTTGACGTTTTTCTAATGATTTCAATTTTGCCTGAATTGCATCTTTCCGTTTTGGCCAATCACTTCTTTGTCAACATTCTTTAATGGATTTTGGTTCAAGATCCCCATTTTCATTGACCATATCATTTTCTATTACAAATGCAAAAACATTGTCAATGACAACATCATTTTGATTCCACTTTATCACAGTGGAAATATAATTTATTGAGATGTCATCATTATCTACAATTTCTACATCTTCTTTGTTTTCAAGAACTTGAATCTTTTCTAGGATTATCTCTTTAGATGCATTTTTTGGTTGTTGTTTAGAGAACTCTTGAGTCTTTACAATTTCAGTGGAACCAACATTTTGCCTCTTTTTTTTTATTCTTGGATTTTTATCTTTGTAACCAACAAGTCTGCCACACTTTTGGTGTATAGTAGATTCATTTGCTACTGTCTTAGCACATTTTTCAACAAGAATATCAATTCGAGCAAGAGCATTCAAAGCTGGGATATGTTAACTAGTTACTTTCTTTGCATCAGTAAATGCATCAAGCAATTGGTTTGCAATCTTTTGCAAATGAATAATTTTCTGAACTTCTAGTTCACTTTGACCTGTTCGAGGGTTTAAATGAGATATAGATAATGCATCTCAAGTTAATTCTTGTTTTTTCAACTTTGTTCCTTTCCCCCCTAATGCTTGAAACAAGTTTTCATCAAAATAACATTCAATAAATCTTATTGTG